CAGTTGAACTGCTGTGCAAAAAGTTGCAGCTGAACACAGTGGCAAAAAGCTCTCATTTAACAATTGCTTTTTCTATACAGTAGAAATACTTCAAAAATATGCTGCTTAAACAGTAGCACACTGAGGCTGAAAACTACACCTCACAGAAAATCCTTGCAATAATTTTTACGGAATTGGATATTTCCATCCCTGCTGCATAATTATACACTTTTCAGACCATATTACAGTTCTAGACACATTTTCCTTAATACTTTTAATTGAGTCTCAGACCATACGACAATATAATTTTATGCCCATACGTTGATACATTTCACACAATTCTTGTTAAAATAAATAATCTGTATGTGTGCATATAGAAAGTATTACTTAAGTGATTCAAAGAGACAGTCCATCACACTCTTCCTTTCAAAATGGTCTATGGACTGACCTTTCAGAAGTTTTCAAAGCCTCTCAGGATAGTAGTAGCCATCTGCTCAATGTATTTACATTTCTCAGCAGGAGCTTAAGTAGAGTGCCCTGCCCAAAATTGTACCTTTAAGTTGTTTTGAGAAGTTAAAAAGGAACTTTATTTAAATAGACAAAACCAAAATAAGATTCTGCACGTGGTAGAGAAAAAACCCTGCTGAACTGTGATTTCAAAAATCAAATGTAGATGAATAGACTACAAAGTAATCCGTAAACCAAGGCACAATTAATCAGATGTCATTTCTCTCACCAATTCTACAGAGCAAGGCAGAAATCACACTATTAACTTAGCTCTTAGCTCACATACTTGAGTGCATTTCTGCATTTTTCATTTCCTATTATAGAGATCTACATATTTTTCCAGATAACTAATTTAAAATGCACAAAAAAAGATAAGACAAACACAACTGAATCTCAAATTTATACCACATGCTGGAACAGAACCTACCTGAAAGCAGCCACTACAGACTTCAAGTAGTACTTTCCCAAGAAGGAAGACTCATATGATTTTGCAAGCTGACGGTTAAATAATGGCAAAAGAAAATGTAAAAAGTGTTATATTTTAGTGTCAATATAATCTCTTATGCTATAAAGCATTTGTCTTATTTCTTCCTTTCCCCTTCTTCACCCCGTCCCATATTACAAACACTATCAATCATTTTCACAAAATATATCAAATAAAATTCATAAATGTGTATTCATTTCCACTAAAAAAAAATATACTTTTAAGTCACATCACTATTGAGATAACTCTTGATAATTAGGCATGAAAAAGAAGCCTTTATGAATACATTTATATTTTTGTTTCAGTCTTTAAATTTCCGTCATATAATGTGGACATGAGCAACTTGTATTGGCTGTGCACAAAGCAGCTTTGAGACACTAGATTAGGTCTTTTGGGAAATACAGTCTAACAGAGAACTGCTTTGTGTTTAAGACGGCTGTTCACATGTACCCAGGAAACAGTATTGATCTCACAAATAGGAACTTTCATAAGAAGTGCAAGAAAGCAAGCACTGTTGTGGGGAATAAGGGAAAACAAAACAAAACAAAAATTTAAGCATTGAATTTGAGCTCTAATTAAAAAAAAAAAACAACAAAGGGAAAAATGTAGCAAGGAAGAGTGTGTGAGTAAAATAAAACAAAACAAAAACCACACCCCTAATTCCTTTAAGAAGAATAATTTGTCCATAACCTTGAAACCCCCAGGTTTTATTACCTAGGAAATGTTAGCCTTACTACAAGACACATAGCCCCAAATGTCTAGCTACATTCCTAAAGCTGTACACTGTTGAGGCACTTGCTAGCTTTAAACTTACTATTTTGAAGAAAAAAAAAATTGTGACTAACTGGAGTCTTCTCCTTGTTCCCAATTGGATTCTGTAATAAATATCTTTAAATTATTGCTATAGTTATGTGGGAACTTACATAACTTTGGATTGCTTCTGCTTGCAGGAGGAATTTCTGTGACTTTGGATCATTGAGGTCATTTGTATAAGTCAAATTAGGAATTTCTACACTTCCACCAATATAAATAAAGGAGAAAGCTGGAGCTGAGAAAAAAAAGGACAAAAAAATTAGCACACCTAATAACATTAAGGAAAAGCTACCAGAACAAGAGGCTTGCAGAAGCATGTATTTGTCCTTGGCATCGGTAGGCATTAGTTCTTACGAGAAACACGCAATAATAGCCAGAGTGCTATTGATTGATAGAATAATGCTCAGAAGGAAAGGAGAGGTACAGGTTCAGACAGGCATTTCTACTAGCAAGCTTTAATTGTTAAAGTTCCATTTTTTGCAGTGCTGGAGAGATACGATTTTAATGGCTATAAGTTGAGACCTAGGAAGGAGTGTACATCATTTAGGTGCCTGTTCTGTTTTGAAAAAGTGAATAGAAGATAGGTAATTCCTATAGGTTCTTGGGAAAGATGACAGTTATAATAATGATGGTATCCACAAGCAGAGACAAACAATTTAGAGGTAAAATACATACCTTCATTATTCTTGTGCAACGATCAACTGCTAATTATTATGCATTTTGTTGCCTTAGTAAAGACATTAAGGAGAAGGGAAAGTCTCCTTTATACACGCATTACGCGCTTAGCTGCTTAGTGCACAGCTTGCTTTCCGTACTAATCGTTCACACAGTGCAAAATACCCATCCCATCCAGCCCATGCTGGGGAGTAACACTTACATAACGAACAGTGCAGGACTAGCACAATTACTGTAACTATTAAAGAAACTATAGGTAATATTCCTAGAAGCCATCTCCTCCAGAAACACAATCTCATCCATTTGAAGAAACAGTACGTCTGACACAAGCCTTCTGGGTAGGATGGGTAGTAGTGAATATGCAGACTTTCCTAGAGAAAGACATGGGAAGGCATCAATTAGTAAGACAACAGAAGAAGAGCTATTGTACCCTATTTTAGTATAATTGCCCTTTTAGTTTTTAAAGAGGTTTAAATTGAGATAATATCTTTCATGTTATCATCAGCTATGTCACACATGAAACCCGCATATTTCTCGGCTGCTTGTTTGTGGCATGTATTTCAAGCTATGTAAGTGGGGGGGAAAATTGCTATCACTTTGGTTAGGAGCAATTTGCACATGAAGAACAGAGGTCAATACACACCAGAGTGGGCAGAGAGATCATTTACTGCGTTCCTGCTGTAAAGCTTAGCTGGTATCTCTTACCTGCCCTGCAGTCTGCTCAGAGTCGCATGGAGCTGGTATGCTGTACACAGAAATCCGGCTGGAGGGGAAAGCCCGTATCATGATGCCTTGACAAATGCCTTCTGACAAACCTAGTAACAAAGTCCTAAATGAGCCTCATTTCTTAAACGTAACCCAGAATAACATAGTGCTCTCCCCGCCATGCACACCAGGCTTCTCTCATTTCACCTTTGCCATACTGCTTGAAGCTGGAGCCAGCTGATCTACAATCAAAGAAGGTGGGGAGGAAAAGTTACCACCGCTGTAACTCTTTGTTTCCCTAACTGACTAAGTAGGATATGGATTCCATCATTTGAAAAGAGATCAGCTACCTACTTCTTTGAGAAATACAAGAATAGGAAGTAATTTATGACACAAAGCAAAGGACATGCGAGCAATTTACAGGTAAAAAGTCCCAAAGCAAGGTAAATGAGGCAACTTCTAATAAACACCTGCTGGAATCCACAGAAATATTTATGAGAAAGAAATGCTCAATTCCACAGACCACCTGAATTTTCCAGCCTCAAGCCGGTACCACAGAATAAACGTAATTGCAAAGCAATTCATGTTCACATTTCCTGTTTGGAATTAAAAACAGTTTTTAAGTTAGAAAGCCAACAAGTTCAGGGTGTTCTGCATGTAAAATAAGAAAATCAAGATGTGTGTGGGGAATTAACATATTTTACACATGAGGAGAGAGAGACAGAGCGCACTAGCACAAAGAACAAAACCTGGAAAAACAAAACAGACCCAAGAAACCTCAGCTCCAGAAAACAAAAAGGGAACAAACCAACCCGAACACCGATCACGTAGAGACTACAAAAGGGATTAATTGGAAGGCAATCCTCATAGCTCAGGAATGCAAACTACAACTGTAGACAGACTGCTTTGTTCAAGTCCCTTTTTTTCAACAGCCTATCTCTGCTACACGCACAACCTGCTGATTGACTGATACTTCGCTCCCTCCTTCATGGAAAAGAAACCCACAGAAGAAGTCTAGAGGAAATAAAACCTCTTTTGCATCATCTCTAAAAATTATATCAGGATTTTTTTAAAACTATATACGGTCAGAGAACCTAATTTCATAGCAGTTTAAAATACCTCTCAGAGGGTAGAGGCATTGGTTTTATTTGGGCAAGGACAAGATCATTGCAATAACACACATCACCATATTTCCTCATCTTGTTAAGGTTGCCTGCAGATAAAGAATTCAAATTCTCAAGTGGATGAACTGTGAAAAATCTTGAATATGGGGAAATTAAGGCAGGAAATGAAAGAGTTAGTAGCTCCAAACCATGCAGTTAATTAAAACGGAAGTTGGAGAAGGAATAAAACTAATGCTTGCTTTCATGCTTAACCGCAGAACTTCTAATCTCCAAAAATGACGGCTCTATGGATTTGAGAGGATTGAGTTCACTTTCTGCAACCCCTCCTCTCCCTCTCTTGCTGGAGGAGGTAGGGAAAGTAGTATTTGCAAGAATACTAACAGTTGATTGCTGCTTCACAGTCACTACTGTATTGGGCCATACATATCTCAGAGGAAATGACTGAGTAAGACTTATGCTCTGTCTCAATTGTTTCTTCAGCTTCCCGATAGATGATTGCACATGCGCTTAGCTGGTGTCTGGAAAATGAACACAAAGTGCCAGAAGTTTATTACTGCACCTTCTCCTGTGTCTCCAGACACCTGCATAGAACAACAACCACAAGATCAGTCTCTTCCTCTTTCACCAAGGTTTGATGAAAGGGTATTTGTTACTTCCATATGTCTACTCCAGAATCAAATATTGACATGCAAAGAAATTCCACCACTGAACAGTTTTACCAAATGTGATTTTTAATGAAGATATCCAGGACGTGTTTTATACCAGCAAAACAGTTTTCAAGTTACAAGACTGAAGGCACATATTTGTGAATCCATGGAGCAAAATTTGATACTTTTGTGTAGACACCAGGGAAACGTGGTCTTCCACATCCATAACCCCAGCTAACAATGCCAGCCAAAAACCATTTTCCATCTCCGTTACTTTGACATGACAACGGTCCACCGGAATCACCCTATAAAAGAATACATTGAGTTGTATATGTTTACAATAAAGATTATTAAAACTGGGACAAAAGTCTACAGAAGATGTTTTGCCTGAGTAATTCCAACAGTGATTATATTTTCCTATTCACACAGTTCAAACCATCAGATAGTCAACGGGGTTTTTTTTCTTGAAGTAGATGGGATTGCACAGCTGTACCAAAATTTGCTCTTTCACAAGAGAGGGCTAGTTCTTACTCTTTAAAGACAATAATAATGATATTACATTTCATGGCTAGGTTTAAAAGTCACAATTAACTTCCTAGCCTCAAACTTACAGCTAACTCCAAAATCTGCTGCTTAATATGTGTCCTGGTTTTCACTGGGATAGAGTTAATTTCCTTCCTAGTAGCTGGTACAGTGCTGTGTGTTGGATTTAGTATGAGAATAATGTTGATAACACACCCATGTTTTAGTTGTTGCTAAGCAGTGCTCACACTAGTCAAGGA